ATGAAGATGAAGATGAAGATGAAGATGAAGATGAAGATGAAGATGAAAATGAAGATGAAGATGAAGATGAAGATAAGGATAAAAATCATAACCCCTTAACTTTAACTCATCTTAACTTAAAAACTTACTCCACCTGAGCTCACCACACATTAATTCACCACACTTTAACTCCCCACACCTAAATTCACCACACCTTAACCCCCGCACCTAAATCCACCACACCTAAATCCACCACACCTAAATCCACCACCCTTAATTCACCACACCTCAACTTTCTCACCACACCTTAACTCACCTCAACTCACCACACCAAAATTCACCACACCTTAACTCACCACACCTCAACTTTCTCACCATAACTTAACTCACCACACCTGAATCCACCACACCTAAATTCACCACACCGTAACTCCTACACCCAAATCCACCACACCGCAGCTCACCACACCCAATTTCACCACATGACATGATATCACTTGATGTGGCATCAAAGGCAACATCATTTGGCATAAAATGAACCAAAATAAATAAGATTTAGATAGAGGTGAAAAAAGGGATAAAAAGGAAATACAACTGAAGAGTGTGCGATGTTATATTGTGGTGTGTTATGCTTCATATGTTATGTTATTTATTCTTATGTTATGGTTATGTTATGTTATACCAAGTACTAAGCTAAACTCCCCTCCACTTAACCCATTCCAACTAATGTTATTTTAGCTCATTCAACTTACATAAACTATCCTTAATTTTATCGGTTGAATTTCAACCGCTGGGCGAACACTAGTAATTAAAATTTTGCATATTAATGATAACAAGAATCAATATAGAATTTTAGCTATTGATAATTAATTGTGACAGGGTTATTGGCTTTTATTTTCAGCCGCATTAGAGTTACACCATTGACTTTTTATCGTTTTTTGAGATAAAGCTACCGCGCCAAAGCTTTTGCCTGATTAGCGAATGGGGTCGAAGTTCTGTTATCGTATTTTAAAGACTGCAATATCAGCGGATAGCCACCAATCCTATCAGTATTTCAACGCAATGCACTCTTTAATTCATATACAAGTGAGGTGGTGTTACCAGAGCAGCTGATTTTTCGCGACTTTAAGCGATAATCTTAATTTGGTTTGGTACGAGTCTGTTTGCAATGTACAAACCAGAGCTACTAAAAATAATCGTTTCATAAGCAGGTTGAGAATTTCAGCCATGTTTAAAAATTGGCATTTATTTTAATTATTGGAACTAGCTAGCAAAAGTTATTATTCTGCAGGTCCCAAAGCATCAAGGAACCTATAAATCTCATAAAAATTTTGGGAAAATACCCGTTTCTTTTGATCTATTTGAGAGACGAGAATAGGCATTGAACGAGGAACAGTATAGAGCCAATAATACTACTTCTACTTCTCACGAAATCGGAATAGCAAAGAGTTACCTTAGCGAAACTTGAAACCTCATTTTTAATGAAATGCGGCCAACCTTTTCAAGCTGAGAGGTGACAGATCGCCAAAGACTTCTGGCAAATCAACCTGCTACCCGTTTCATTTATATGTATACCCCCCAGAGGCTGACACGGGCTGGGGTTAGTGCCTAGAGCATAAGTATCCAAATTGTTGTCCATGACCCAACATACGTACGTTTAAAGAAGAGGGTCCTGGCACGTATTTCTGGGCGATAGATTTTCCAGCTCTTTGATGATAGAATTATCCGATTTGTGCTTAGAGCTGCGGCCAAGAAAGATTGCCCCAAGAGGCGCCCCAAGAAAAAAACTGGGCCAAATTTTTTAATTTGCTTAGCATCAGTTTGCTGTATGTTTTTGGAGCACAAAGTTTAGAGGATGAATGATATTATAACTGACGCCCTTAACTCTAGCACTCGGCGCTTTGCTGGGTGAGTGCCTAACTAGTTTGACGTAAGAATAGTAGGTATTTTCAGAAATTTCTGTAAGAGTATCTGGACAACCCTGGAACATGCAAGACATCATAACGCCTTACCCAACGGAACGATAGAAAACAGGCAAACAATCAGATCACCTAACGGTAGCTATACCGGTGTAGAAGAGGAAAGGATACTTGGTCTGCTTTCTGTTCACTCCCACTAAACGAAAGACGGAATCACAAAAGTTCAGACCTTTTCCATCAGACTGGGAACTGGCAAGAAAGCCATTCACTCGGCGGTCGGTCGGAGAGGCGTTGGACTCGACAGGAAAGAAAAAGTATTATTTGCTGTCCTTGACATTGAGGGCGCCTTTTACAATACGTAACATCATTAGAGAAAAGAAATGCAAAGCTGCTTCAAACAAGAATTGCAGTTACAAACAACAAAAGGGATGCGCACTAGGAGGTATACTGTTACCTCTTCTGTGGAGCCTTGTACTGAATAAACTTCTACAAATCGTCTCTGCCAGAGAAGAGTTCGAGAGCCCCCCCTGCGATAATCTAGAAAGAGGTCTAAGCTTAATGAAAGCCTTATGCGTCAGAGTGGGTCTTAATGCCTTTACTAGAAGAATAATTCATTCAGGTAGCAGGAATATATGTACATACATAACTTTGAGTGAGGTCATTGTCTGTGAAGTATCATAGTCTAATAATGGACTTTAAACCAGATCTATGAAAACTCTAAAACACGATCTTTTTTTGAACACAATAATATCCGACTGCTTTGGGAACCAGATTACAAGAGCTAGGGGACACCACGAGGAAGCGGACGGATTAGCCAAGAAGGCAGTGACCTAAACTTCTAGATATAGTGCTTAGGCTATTCCTTACAGTAGGTAATGAGACTGACAGAATGACATTGGCGAAGCATCACACGACTTCGCCAAACCAAAAGGTTATTCGGGTGTACAATCTGAAGAGGCTTAGACTTCTAATTTACCACCCTAAAGAGAAACTACACTTTATAACAAGAATCCTTTCCAGCAAACTGCAGAGTAAGTAGACAAATGTATAAGTAAGGGATATATTTAAATGATCTACGTTGACTTTGTGACTCAGCAAAAGAGACACAATTGCATCTACATATTTATTCCTTGAGTGTGAGACCGTTTCAAGACTCTATGTGGCCAAACGATGAGCCTCCCTAAAAGCTCTACTAAGTTTTCTGAAAAATATAGGATGAGACGAAGTGTTTTGAATAGTAGCACAATATATCCATTGAGTCGCAGTGCATACAACTTTTTAATACCTGGCTCTCTAGGAATAGTAGTTTTCACGGTTTTCACAGTATCTTCCGCGGCAAAGCCTTGAACCACTGTAATCGCATCTATCGCTATTGGGAGTACACATGTAGGTAGATAGATATGTTTCAAAATTAATTAAGTGGCGAAAGGTACTAGTTGTACGATTTCTTAATCTGGCATTCTTGTTGAGATAAAAGTAACATTGGAGACGAATTGCGAATTCCAAAAACTTTAAAAAGAAAGTACTTGGCGGCTGGCTTAAATAAATAATATTAGTAAAACTTTGTAATTTGTTTGAAATGCACGCAGGTCCTCGCGGAAAAATGGGCAATCCTTTATATGTAACACTCTGGCTATGGGTATGTATTTTTTTTCATAAAAATAAGTATTTAAATACCTAAAAAATATTTCAAACATGTACGACTAGAATTACATAAGTGCACTTAAAATTTCTACTCCAGTTTCTGCTTGCCACCTGCACACACTCCTTCGTACAGACGAGGCACCGGCATAAAGGTCAAGGATCTACTGCTGCCACTACTATTTTCCAATGTCAAACACCTGGCTACTTTCCTGATCCATACAATTGTCGAAACTACTATAAATGTCAGAGTGGCGGCACGTATACGCGTTATAAATGTGGTTCTCGTCAACGTTACTCCGTACAAATGCAATCGTGTGCATTGTCCTCTAACGCAGTTTGTTATGATCCCGCATTTCGGTGCACAGCCGTGGGTGATCAGGGCGCCTGGCCCGGCGATTCGCGCATATTTTATACATGTCAGGCTAGTGGAAGTGATGGGAGGTTGCAGCCAGTGCTATTTAAATGTCCGGACGGTACCTCGTTCGATGGAGCTGCATGCGCATGAAGGATGAAGTGAATGTGAAAAAAAAATAAATAAATAATGGAAGGAAATAAAAGTACATTCGCTGTGTCGGTTTGAGAACTGAATTTCAAGTTGAATTTTTATTCAATAAAAAGCATTGTTTTTGTGTCGAAACCAATAATAGCCTAAAAAAATTGTATTCAAGGAAGAAATAAGGAAGAAGAAGGCAGATAAAAGTGATGGCATTGAGTAGAAATATAGAAACTGAAAAAGTGAAGAAAGTAGTAGAAACTTTAAAGAGTTAGTGGAAAGGTAAAAAGTAGAAGACGTCATAAAATAAGTTGGAAACTAATTCAAGAAGAATAAAGTAGTGAAGAAGTTGAATTAACAAAAATGGTAAAACTATTTTTGAACGAAAAAAAGTAGTCGGGTAAAAAGTAGTATGTAGTAGCAAAAGATTTAAATTAAACTGAAAGAAATATAGAAAAGAAGTAAAGTCTTAAAATAGAAATAAGAAAAGCACATAGATTACAGAAGAAAAAATAGAAACAAAACTGTAGTAAAATTAGAAAAATGGAGCAAAATTGAGAAGTAGATGAAAGTGCGAGGTTTGTATATGCTTTAGTAAATCTAGAAAAGTTTAGCAAAAAAAAAATAGCTGAAAGTGCGAAATTTAAAACTTTTGGTAAAAATGTGTAGGAACTGGATCTCAACCAAAAAGGCATAGTATAAAAGAGTAGTAGTAATTTAAGAAAAGTAGTTGATACTTAAATGGCAGTAGCAAAATCAAAGTTCTTTTTATCTGAATAAAAAGTACTAGATTTTTTAATAAAACGTTAACGGTAGTAAAAACCTTGAAGTCACGACTATAAATAAAATTAGGTATGCACGTTGTGGCAGTAAGAGAAAATCAACGGAAAAGTTGAAATTAACCCAGAGACTAAAATATGTAGATACTCAAAGACAGTAGCAGAAAGTTAAAAATAAGTAAAGTTTAAGGAAGTGGTAGAAAAATTACGCACTCGTTAAAAAAATTCAAAACCAGTTGCGAAAGTTAAAATTCGAGCTAAACGATGAGGCGGAGGTAAAAGAAAGGTAGTATAAATAAAAAAATAGTAGTAGAAAAATGTACGAAAAGTAAAACGCTGTACCAAACAGTTTCGAAATTTAGAATCCAGAATAAAGTATAAAGACTTAGAAGAAAGGTAGTAGATTTTAAAAAGAGGTTGCAGTAAAAAGCTACAAAAAACAAAAACAGTTGGAAAGTTAGAATAAATTATAAAGACGTAGAATAAAAGTGGTAGAATTTAACAAGAGATTGTAGTAGAAAATATAACCCAGAAGTTAAAAGTATCGAAAAATAGTTGTAGATAAAAATGACCAGAAGTAAAGGAGTGCACATTTATACAAAACTCGTTTACAAATTTCTGTAAAATTACGAACGCATTTGTTGCTATACAAGTCAGATAAAAAGCAGTAGAAACCATAAAATTAGTGAAACTTATTTTAAAAGCAGAATATTAGTGAAAGAGTAGGAATTGAAAACAAATAGAAACAAATAAAAAAAGGAGTAGAGTAAAAATAGTAGAAGGAGAAAGAAATATGTTACTCAAGTATAAAAAATTTGGAATCAAGTAAAGAATAACATGAGACAAGCTGAAAAAAGAAATAGAAAAAGGTATTAAAATGAAAATGTAGTCAAAGAAGGAAGTTTGTAGAAGTACGAGAAAGGAAGGAGTAAAGGAAGCAGAAACTAGAAATTAGTAGTAGAAAAAACTGACCAGAAATAAAAAATAGTACACATTTATATAAAACTTATTACTAAAAAATTACGTATTTTTACACAAATCACTTAAATCTACTTCACCAACGCTGCGGTTCAATCATCGCATTCGCGCACAACAGGATGCAACACGATCGA